AACTCAAAAACCATACTTCTGGCCCTAGAAGCAAAAAGCACAAGGAGCTTGGTTTTGAGGGAAGAAAGAATTATGGCCTCAGGCAGCAAGATATTTTCGCCGAAAGTTTATGGGTGTCGATGTTTTATTAGACGCAAACTTGTTTGAAATTCGTGGCCATCTACTCTGCAAAACCCATCCTTCTACCCCTAAAAGCAAAACAGCACAGACAGCTTGGTCTCGAGGGGAAGAGACTCATAAGCTCAGCCAGCAAGATACCTGAAAATTTCTCGGTGTCAATGTTTATTCTACAGAAACTTGCTTCAAAATTTACTTCTGGCCCTTCTACTTTGCAAAAACCATACTTCTGCCTCTGAAGGCAGAAAAGTGGTCTCGAGGGAAAGACAGATCCATGAGGTTCTTGCGACAGGAAATTACCTTCTCTGAAAATTTTGGCCTTTTGAACTTCGTTGAAATCACACTTTTGTCAGAAGCAAAAAAAAAAACAGGGACCTTGGTCTCGAGGGAAGAAGAGACTCAGGGCTCAGGCAGCAAGCTATTTGCGCTAAAATAATTTTAGATGTCAATAATTATGAAGAAACTTGCGGGAAAAATTACGGCCCTTCTTCTCAACCATACTTCTGCCCCTAAAAGCGGAAGCATAAAGAGCTTGGTTTCGAGGGAAGGAAAGACCTAGGGTTTTATGCGACAAGACAGTTTCGGTAAGATTGTCCTTCAAAAGAAGGCGTTGGGCCAACTTTAGTCTGTTCTAAGAAATGAGTCCGTTCACTGGCAAGACATCATCAAAGAAGATACTGCTTCGATTTATCTACATATCTGAGTTTTCGGCTGCTGGAAGACATAACTTGACGCTTCCATTAACATGGCACTTTCCCGGAAATCAATCTGAGTTTTGAGATGAATCAGCTGTTTTTAACAGGTGCTTAGAGGTAGCTTCCTCGTTTAAAGGCACCGTCCACCCAAAATCTCGACTTCCATGTTTTTGTCGATTCCAGGCCTTCTGAAGGCCCTGATTTCGAATATGAAGTCAAAAATCCGCGAAACCTCCAAAAATCCCAGTTTTGAGAACCCCCTGCAACAAGCGCCGGCGAGGTAAAGCATGCAAGTGGGCGGAGTGACCATGGTCGCTCCGCCCACTTTGCTACTTCAGGAGCGGGTTTCTCGCTCCAGAAGCAGTCTTTTGCGGCGCAACTTGGGAGTTTGCCTAGTGTGGGGGCCCACACTAGTATGCCATCATAATCTCGTCAACCCCCATTTTGGGTGGACGGTGCCTTTAAGAGCTGTGGTATCTGGGCGAAGGTATCTGCAAGAGAAATACCAGAGATGCTTTGCGGATAGTCACTGGTAGCTTCTTTTCCTAAGAACATAGTGTTTTGTTTCTACTACTCATAACACGCGAAAGGTCGCTGGGGAGACGGAAATTCTCTTTCTCGGGATTTTTAGTTAATTAATGGCAGATATCAATGTATCTGCCCCCACCCACTTACTAGCGACCCGTAGGGTCGCTAGTCTTATATATAAAGCTGAATGTCTGCTTGTCTGTATGTATGTCTGTATTATGTCTGTATGTGTACGTATGTTCCAAATGGAAAATTCCATTTCTGAACCGATCTGGACCAAACTTGGCACACATACACTTCGGGCCCCGGCGGGTGTCATAGGCTACTTTTCGTCACCGATCGATATCGATTTTATCGATTTTTTGCAAAATTTGAGCTACGGGGCTGGGAGTTGGCACAGGGGGTAATCGAGCATGCTGATTACGAATATAATAATGAAGGGCCGGGCGAAGCCGCGTTTGCCAGCCAGTTACATCTAAATTGTAAGAAGCAGGTTGCTCCACTGCTCAAACTCCAATGAGAGGGTCACGGATAGAATGGAGGAGTGTAAGCCCATCTTGTCGAAACTTTTGGAGTAACGATGAGATTACGCCCACTCCCGTTCTATCGAGTTTTGGTTAACAGCGTCGGTTATAAGAGGTTGCACAGTGTAACAACAGCATTACCCAATAACAAAATTTGTTCGTGCATAACAATTGAAATGTACCATCCGACAAACCTCAATGCTTCATCAGGACTGCATCTCGCAGTATAGAATCAAGATTTCCAACAAATGTGCAAGAAAAAAACATCAGCCTTCACAGCTTATTCCTCTGTTATTTATGATAGTGAGGATTCATGACGGCGAGTAAACTTTACCTGTTTCACTTCCAAGAACATTTCCAACGCGCATTTGAGCTCTCATGGACATTCTGGGTACTTAGGGCATTAATAAGTTATCGCTTCCTCGTAAACGCTTATCTAACCTATGAACCAATCCTGAGTCGTGAGTGCATAATAGCGCGCACTGTATTATAGGTCGTAAAACAGCGGAAAATATTAGGTTGTTTCATAAGTTTTTTAATTTTGTCTTTCTCTCGCAATCTTATATATAAAGCTGAATGTCTGTTTGTCTGTCTGTATGTCTGTCTGTATGTCTGTCTGTACATATGTTCCGAATAGAAAATTCCATTTCTGAACCGATCTGGACCAAACTTGGCACACATACACTTCGGGCCCCAGCGGGTGTCATAGGCTACTTTTCGTCATCGATGGATATCGATTTTATCGATTTTTTGCAAAATTTGAGCTACGGGGCTGGGAGTTGGTACAGGGGGGTAATCGAGCATGCTGATCTTATATATAGAGCTGAATGTCTGTTTGTCTGTCTGTATGTCTGTCTGTACGTATGTTCCGAATAGAAAATTCCATTTCTTAACCGATCCGGACCAAACTTGGCACACATACACTCCCCCACGGGGGTGATCAGCATGCTCGATTACCCCCCTGTGCCAACTTCCAGCCCCATAGCTCAAATTTTGCAAAAAATCGATAAAATCGATATCGATCGATGACGAAAAGTAGCCAATGACACCCGCTGGGGCCCGAAGTGTATGTGTGCCAAGTTTGGTCCAGATCGGTTCAGAAATGAATTTTCTATTCGGAACATACGTACAGACAGACATACAGACAGACATACAGACAGACAAACAGACATTCAGCTTTATATATAAGAAAAGACAAAATTAAAAAAACTTATGAAACAACCTAATATTTTCCGCTATTTTACGACCTATAATACAGTGCGCGCTATTATGCACTCACGACTCAGGATTGGTTCATAGGTTAGATAAGCGTTTACGAGGAAGCGATAACTTATCAATGCCCTAAGTACCCAGAATGTCCATGAGAGCTCAAATGCGCGTTGGAAATGTTCTTGGAAGTGAAACAGGTAAAGTTTACTCGCCGTCATGAATCCTCACTATCATAAATAACAGAGGAATAAGCTGTGAAGGCTGATGTTTTTTTCTTGCACATTTGTTGGAAATCTTGATTCTATTACTGCGAGGTGCAGTCCTGATGAAGCACTGAGGTTTGTCGGATGGTACATTTCAATTGTTATGCACGAACAAATTTTGTTATTGGGTAAGTGTGCCAAGTTTGGTCCGGATCGGTTAAAAAATGGAATTTTCTATTCGGAACATACGGCGGAGCCGGGTAAGCCAGCTAGTTACGAATAAAATAATGACAGGGCCGGGCGGAGCCGGGTAAGCCATCTAGTAAGTAACAAACTTCTCAATTCTAATAAAAATGCAAGATGCCATTCGACAGAGCAAAGCAAACACTTCAAGAGGGCATGTGTACGCACCAGCTTTAGCAAATCATGAGCTGGAAGCCGAAACCTGAGAACTTTCGAATGCCCAAAATTTTGAAAATTTTCATATCTCTGTCGAAATGCAACTTACCTAATCCCAAACTCGCGCATACATCTACACTCCACATAAGACATTTATATATGCCGTTGCTGTGTTTGTTTCTGTGCTAAAGACCAAAAAAATGAAATTTTTAAGCTTTCAGAAAAGCGATGCTGCGCTGTTCTCACATAAGTAAATGTATACTGCAAGCCTTTAAAAGTGCGATTACAGATATTCAGCTTTCTATAAGCTGTAGTTTTCGAGAAATATTGATCTCAACATAAAATACCCCAGCAGAAAACGCTAAATTTGGTATTTCTCAAGAACTAGCGCTTGCAAGAAGCTGAAAGCTACCGATGTATTTCTGAGGGGTTGTGATACGGTAATGTGTAATTTCTGTAATATGTAATTTCCAGAAGTGAAAAGTGCTATTTTGGCGGACGGCGTATTGCCCTCGAGCGCGATTGGCTCGTGGGTACGGTAGGTACATACAGTGTCTTCACTCACAAGCCAATGACGCTCTAAAGAGCAGGATACGCGGCCCTCCCAAATAGCACTTTCCACGTCTGGAAAAGCGAGTTTCTGATATCTTTTGAAGCTGCAAAGCACAGTGTTGGACTTAGCTCGTCCAGGAGAGCCCCGAACGATGAATATCCCAAAGTTGTCATTCTGCCGAGCCGCTGCCTTTGAAGAGCTTGCTTTGTTCTATCGAATACCTGTATTCTGGTTAGAATTAAGAAGTATGTGAATTAGTGCGATAAAAAGACAAAATTGAAAAAACTTATGAGGTGATATACATAGCATAGCTGGTATTATTATTATATTATTATATATTATATTACTCTGTCAACCCATCATGCCAAGGAAGGACAAAATATATTTTTTAACTACAATGCCGCTCGCAATTCGTCGGAAAAATACCGAAATCTACCTAAGTTTGCCGAAATCCGCGTCGCATAGCCTTATCTTGGTTTGGAGTGGACGAATTCTCAAGTACAGAACACCGTCAGACTCAGCCCATGGAGGCGCATTTTCTGCTGTGTAAAAGTGCCCGTCACAAAAGGAGGTCAGGTTTTATTTTCTTTCTAGATCTTCACTTACGATAGGTTATTCAGCGTGCCTAATCATTGCTGACAATGAGTAGCCTACTGTAAGCAAAGATCTTCTAAAACACATTCTTAGCGTATTCAAACGGGTACTTCAAATATCAGAGAATGCATCTCGCCGAACTAAGTCAGAGAAAAGTCGAAAGGTACGTTTCTGTTCGGCTGCGTCTACTCTGAACTAGCGATAAGATGATGCGGACTTCGGCAAAATCCAGGCTCGGTAACTTTCTTAACGAATTATATGCGGTATGTATCGTACAAAACAACAACGAGGACGTCCCATTTCACAGTAGTTGTCGCATACAGCGATATAGATATTTCCATGGTCAGAGTGCAACACTTTAGCCACCACATCTGGATTCCTAAAATCATTTCGTAAGAATTATCTATGTCTTATCACAGCAGGTAGCATACCCATGCGGACTTCCAGCTTGAATGCGTTCAGGATCTATCTCGTTGAGAAGCTGACTCCATGACAAGTCTCCGTTAGTGCTTATAGCAATTAAGTTGATTTCACGCTCTCCTTTGAACCATTGCTGCAAATGTAAATTCTGCACGTAGTAACAAAGATAATTTTCTTCTATCATGAGCTGTTCACTTCCCCCGTTTGCCCCCTTTTTTGTGGTTGCTTGCTTCTCTCAATTCTGCACCAACTCTCCGAGTGATGTTGAGTTAAACCTACGCCCTAATTCACCGCAATCCCATGTGATACAATACGGCTCGTAATTTATAAAAGACTTTGACGACTACCACAGTTTGCATCGCGTCGCTATTGTTTCTGAGGGGTGTAACCTGAAGTTGAAAGCTCCATCATTTTAACCCGACGAGGTGCATTCAGTAATCCGAAAACGTGATTGTATTTGCCGGTATTATTTGCGACGGTATTTGCGCGCTAGGCGGTCAAATTTTAAAATACTGTGAATTTTTGCTCACGGGATGGCAGTCGGTATGCAGTGCTCATCAACCTACCGCAAGCAAAAGCTATACAGGATGTCCCAAGTATGTATCCACTGTTTGATCGTCAATACAATGCAGCCCCTAACTCGCGTAAAAAAACGCCAGGCGATGGATTTTTCTGCCGCGGCAGATAAATCAACAAAAAATCGTCGGAAGCTCATAGAATCTTTCAGACTAAGTTTTTTGCAAATCTTATGAGATTTTTGGAAAATTCACAAAAAAGCGATTCTGAAAACAAAAAAAATTCTCAAAACACATTTCCCTAACTGCTTCAGTGGGGTGGCGACGATTGATCTGCCACGATATCGTCGCAGGCTCATAACTCTATTGGAAATCACTTATATAAAATCTTATCACGCAAGTATTATAACAATCAAAACGACCCGAATAGAAAGGAAAAACATCCAAAAACAAAATAAAACATAACATAACAATTTTCTGTCTCATACATTCATAATTTTTTACACAGTCGTCTGATTAATTTTCGTCATCGAAAAAATACACATCGTCATCATTCCTCGCTCTGCTCGCAGTAGACGAACTGGACTGCGTTTGACGAAAATTGAATCAAAAATCAAAATCATAAATTTGGATTTTGGCTGAGGGAGCCTGTCTTAACAAGAAACATTTCATAAAGAAACAATGATAAGAGGGAGAAATGCAAGAGAGAAAGAAATAAATACGATCTTATCACGCAGACGTTGAGTCTGAGGTGCGAAAATGCCCTTGCCGCGGCATCGTAGAAGGCGCGAACACCAGTCTTGACCTCAGGTTAATTGGCTCGATGAATAGAGGTCGAAATACTGTCAGAAAGTCATATGATCAGCCTTTTTTCTAATTTCAGCATTTCCATGTCTAATTTCTTCAACTACACGTATGAAATCTGTGGATTTCCCGAAAAAGGGAAAAATGCACATTTTAGGTGCAGTTGCACCCAACTCTCTTGAAATATGGAATGTAATTCGTGAGTGGTTCTTATTTGTTCATTTCGGAACAGATATTTACATTTTCAGAACGCTCATCTCGTTATGGTTCAGAAAATAACAAATTTATGAGCATTTAAGTATTTTGAAAATACCTCGGAATTTTCAGTTGAATTCGACAATTTTGACCAAATTTTTCCACTGACTCCTCTCGACAGAAACTCATTGCTCAATGATATTCTTCTCGCTGTGGCCTGTTCTATCACTACTCAGTCTTTCATAGGTCTGGAATATTAGTTTCTCGACTTACGCTCCTCTGATCGAGGTCCCAATTTGCAATTTTAGGCCGCCAACCTCAGTTCAGAGATCCATATCTCCATCGATAAAATTCACAGTCAGCTGTTTTCTTTTAGGACTTGTGAAGGACTCCCTGTAGATTCATAATTGAGGAATGATTAGGAGATTTCTGGGCAGTGAATTGCTTTACTGCTTCTCAAACTTCCAGCTTTCACTTGATTACACGAATATCATTGATGACTATTTTCATGTAAAAAATTGAAAAAAAAGAAAATCCTGTGCACAATTCGTCAGTGATGCTCAAGTTCACCACCTTCAATTTGAAGTTATGAAATTTCTGGCTATAAGCAGAGTTATGACGGTGCGACGTATCTGTCGCGGCGTAACAGTCGAAATTTCGGCAACGACGGATTTGTTGCGTCGGAACCGTCGACTTTTGGCAATTTCGTCTTTGTAGTTTATTTTGTAAATTCATTATGTTGCTGAAATCAGTGGTTAGTAGTTATGGTGGTAGTGAAATCAAAATTTCATCAACTTTGATCTAGAAAAAGTTATTTCTTTGCGACGGTTTCGCACACAATCATTCCGTCGCGACCATTCTAAAACGATTCAGGAAAAGTTTTTCTCAAGCAGATTTACATTTTTTTAGCCGCCATTCCAGTAGTATTCCGAATATGAAACTAAAATTTGAAAAAAGTAATTTTCAATAGAGTTACGAGCCTGCGACGATTTCGTGGCAGATCAATCCGTCGCCACCCCACTGAAGCAGTTAGGGAAATGTGTTTTGAGAATTTTTTGTTTTCAGAATCGCCTTTTTCTGAACTTTCCAAAAATCTCACAAGATTTGCGAAAAACCCAATCTGAAAGATTCTGAGAGCTTCCGACGATTTTTTGTTGATTTATCTGCCGCGGCGGAAAAATCCATCGCTTAGCGTTTTTTTACGCGAGTTAGGGGCTGCATTGTATCTTTTTCCCCAAGAAGTCTTTTGCCCAGCTCTAGGCCCGTATGCGCGTACATCCCCGCTGGGGCGGGGAGGGGATCTGAGAGGGGATGCGTCATATCTCGCTATTCTACGTATCTTTGTTCTTCTTTCTCTATCTTGCTTCAAAAGTTTATTGTACACTTACACCTACGCATAATGGATGCCAGGTTACTTCCATACAAGATTAGTTTTTTGCCATTTTGTGATCCCCAGGGGACCCCTGGCGATCAACTCTCATTTTCAAAGTGATTTATATTCCTAAGAAGTCAACAAAAAAGCTGTAAAATTGCACTGAGGATATACTACAGCACTGCTAAGCATATTTTTCGACAGAAGAAATGGAATGCGGAGAGAGTGAACTTTTCGATGATCCCTGGTTCGCAAGCTAGGGATTACCGAAGATTTCGATGTCCTGAGATCTCACTTATTCCTACTATAATTATCTTTAACACCGCCGTAGTATATCCACAGTACAATTTTACAGCGTTTCATTGGATTTTCAGGGAGATAAAAGGCAGTGAAATTGTGGGGTGATCCCCTGGTCCCCTGGGAATTCCCGTGAGATCACACAAAATACTGAAAATTTAATCATTCACGCAACTTGGCATCCATTATGCGCAGGTACAAGGGTATGAGAACCTTCATAAGCAAGATAGATAAAGAAGAAGAAAGATACGTAGAGTAGCGAGACATGACGCATGTTCTCTCGAATCCCCTCCCTCCCCAGCGGGGATGTACGTGCTTACGGGCACTTACCATTTGGTAGGGCTGGCTTCAACTTAGATTTACAGTATAAGGCGAATCACCGATCGCTCCTAACTACTGTAGGACTAGGATTGCGACTGGAATTTTCAGTTTATCGCGTCATTGCGAACCATGATTTAATAAAGTTTCCAGTAAATCTAAAAATTGATGTAGCGGGGTTTTGACGCTTGCTAGTTTTATTACTCAAGTTTCTACGAGTTTGCGAAGCTTTTCAAATGGTGTAATGAGGGTTTTATGGAGCATTGTAAGCACAGCTATTGCAGTTTACCTGGCATAACTTACGAAGGAAGCATCGGTAAAGTGCAAACTTCATATGTGGTTATATCGGCTCGAACTAGCCTAGTATAAAAGTTTTCGGCTGTTCGTTTCCTTTCCGAAGCGGAATAGGGCCCTCTTCTTGAAGTCTCTACCGTAATCCTACAGTAACGAAGAGCGATCAGTGATTCGCTTAATACTGCAAATCTAAGTTGAAGCCAGCTCTACAAAATGGTGCCTAGAGGTAGGCAAAAGACTTCTTGGCAAGATATCAACGATCAAACAGTGTATATATGCTTTTAGGACATTCTGTTTATCAATAAATGCGCCTTGTCGAGCCAAATTGAACTTTTGCTCTTGGATTCAAAACTAGTCCATTCTGAAGCAGATATGACGTGCGCGGCAAAGTTTTGCAGAGGCGGCCGCCGTGGTTCTCTTTCATGAAGCGATATTATGGCTTCATTGTTCGGATTGAGCGCAAGTAAAAGATATTGTTTTATGTTTCTCAAATCAACCACTGCCAGCAGAAAGCTACGATATCGCTCATAATTTCTGCAAGAAATAGCAACGATTACCTGAATAAGATGACGTCACGGTAGGTAGCGTAGCCGTGTATCGCTTCAGAGTGGACGAAATTTGAGATGCAGCATTCGACTCAGCGAATCTTATAATATTCAAAAATGCCTATTAGATCCATTAGGCGCACGGTAGGCGACCAAATCTCAAGAATCTTTTTCGAACTTTGCTTACAATGAATTACTCAGGGTGCTCGCACACTGACTAGTCAACCATACAACTCAGGTGAAGTCTTGCTTGCAGAATTTACGAGCAGTATTGTATCTTAGCGGATTCAGCGCGATTAATGTGGAAATTGGTTTATATGGATTGATGGGCGAATGTTCAGTTCAATGGGGTTTGTTTTCAGTTTTGAATTATTCTCTCTCCCCCAGTAGATTGAGGACTATGCATTGTTTTGCATAAACCTGACACTGGTAGGCTGTCAACACATGAATTTCCAGTAAGTGTGGTTAAACTATTATTTTTGTATCGCTAGGACTTTAAGAAAACAGACTGAGGCCCATGTGCACAAAAGCCCTCAGGCAAAGATATCGGGGCTCTACCTTCTGTTTCAGAAGTGGCAGTGGAGCTTTGATCGTTCATCAAGCTCAAAAAATGATTAGAGAGCACGCTCGCGAAAGAAATGCAGAGTCCAGAGCCCATTCACCACCTTCCACTCCCAATGATCCAGAGGTTATTATATTGAGAGTGAGAATCCACAGCATCACAGGTACTTTCATGCAAAGGGAACTAAAATTGCAAACCAATCTCTAACAGAAATATTTTTTGAAAAACGCTTTTGCCTCCTCAGAGAGTGTACGAGTATATGCGATACTCTCGCATGCAGATTGTGCAGTTTGAGCAATCCAAAAAATGTGCGAACTTACAAGTATCATTTGATTGATAGAGCGAGAAGTAATGTGTGGAGAAGATACGCATAGCGTAGACGCTTTCAAATTGCATATCTGTTTGTCGGAAAGATCTGCGCTAAAGCTCTCAGTGTTGAGCTCTCGAGCCGTGCGTACCTGAATGAGCAATCTATACTAGTGCTCAAGGCCTAAGGCATACTTCCCGCGATTCCGTCAAATCGCTACAACAGCGCAACTTGGCTATTTGCCAGATGTCTTCAGATTAACCGTGCGCTGGTTTCAAAAGCATAGACGCGTGGCTTTCGTAACTTGCCGCAAACGCATTGAGTCTGGCTCAAGCAAAGCGCACTTACGACCAGTTACGACGAACCATGCAGTGCTGGATTACGCAGCGACTGAAATCGCGTGAGGTATATCTTGGGCCTAACAAGGGAAGTCACTTGACTTAGGTCGACCTTTTGAAATGAGACACATACAGTTGCAATCAGCTTAAAACGCTGATTTCAAATCTGCTTTCCTTAGTTGCGAAGCATTACTCTGAAGCGAGTTATGTGCTTTTTCTTGAGCATACTTTGCGTGTTGACCGACTTAGGCATACTACAGTATCATCATCTAGGTAGTGGTTCAAATGCATACTACACCCTAGCAAAGCCAAGTGACTCAATCTGATGTTATTTCAATCTTCCACCACTTTTTGGGCAGATTTTCATCGAAAGGCCCTCTTTCCATATTCAGTTATATGTCAATGACACATACTAAAAAAGCTCATAACTCGCTTCAGAGAAAAGCTTCGCAGCTAAAGACATCATATTTGGAATCAGAGTTCCGAGCTGATTCTAAATATATGCTTCTCATTTCAAAAGGCCGACCTAAGTTAAGTGACTACCCTTGTAAGATGCATTGTTCCAACTTACTGCTTCATGTTCGAATACGTCACTACTTATCGTTGTAGTTATAACATTGAGACTGAGATGGACAGTGTAGATGACGATAGAAGATAAATGACTTGGTAAAAAAGGTATAAGCGACGATATTAGTTGATTGTCGTTAGTGGAAAGTGTGAAGCGTTTTGCGTGCAAAGTCAAACCATCCAATTGTCCATGCAGCATGCAATAAAGTCCTGACGACATCACAAGCTGTAACGATACCTTGTAAGTCTAATAAGGGGTAAATATTTAGTCGAAGTGGTCCCATATGATTTCCATACCATTAAGTAGCGCATTGGATGCTAATACCAAACGATTCTGCCACACTTTTGTACGATATTCATCTCTCCCTATACCACCTCTAATTCCAGTTCTCTGATCCCACTGTGTTTCCGTAACCCATAAGCACCTACCTCCCTCGCTGTGAATTCCCTGCGTCCAGTCTAAGGTCAGAAGAAGTCGATGGAATTGATAAACTCAATGATTTACCAAGAAGTTCCAATAATACCAAGATCAGAATGCTCGACTTATCCCATTGAACCAACTTTCATTGCCCAGGTTCATAGTGCGATATGATAAAAGCGCCATAAACTTGTTGTACCAGCCTTTCAAGTTTAGTAGCCAATCATAAATTAAACGATCGATAACAAGAGGTAGCCTACGAACTCGTCATGCTCCGAAGTGTTTGCGTGCAAATTCTGGCGCTGATTGTTTCTTATTACCTTGTATCTTTTAACTAGAAGATAGCAAACAAAAGACAGACATACATGCAAACAGACTTAGCTTCTTAACACATTGCCGATCACGCAAATTTTAGTTTTTCAATTTTAGGACCAGACAACGAAAATTTAAGTTCAGAGAGGAGTTGCGAGGGGGGAACCGGGCGGCCTCCCAAAAGTGAAGGTTGTCCCAGCTACCACTGGCCACCAAAAGTGAAGGTGGTAGTACCGGATACTCACCTCCAAAAACGTCGACAGGGGAGGGGGAGGGGGAGAAGAGGGAATGGAGGAGGGTCAAACGGTCGACTGATCCTATTCTTCCACGTCGTTGCCGCCTGTGTGCCAGTGCGGATGCCGCCAATCCGCACAGGATCATTACCCAAAGTGGAAGTGCGCTTAGGTGACAGTTTCATTTGTAACCTCGCTTACCTCATCCTTCCCAATCCTTTTCTCTTTTTTGATTCATTTTTTAAATTTTGGTAATATTTTTTATTTTCAGATGTCATGTGAAACGGACTCAAAGGTCCAGTCGCGCACGTTTTCCACCTGTGCGATAAGGCAACTAGCGGGGTGTGGAGAATACGCGAATGGTGCATTTTTAAAGGCACCTTTAAGAAGTGGAAAAAAGTTCAAAAAGGCCTGTCCGCTCTTTATGAAGCGTATGCAGGAGTCGCAGGTTAACAAAAATGTAAAGATGGAGTAAATGAAAGTTTTCTCTGAGGATGTGTTTCATGATTTCTCGTCTATTTTGAGCATACCTCTTTATCAATTACATAGAAAATTTGTAATCCCATTCATTCTATTTCTTAGCCATGTTCTATCGTGAAAGTCGAAATCGTTTTGAGCTGATCAAGTTATACCGTGCTTCAAAAGATGTGAGTTCATTATTCAATTGTGTATTTGATCATATATGAGAAAAAATTATTTAAACATGGCGAAGTTGGATTCCCTCTTGGGTTATTGATCGTCGCGAATCCTGCACTTATTTTTTTCTTGTTGCTGATTCGCAACTGGCAGCGATGTTCCCCGCGGCTGGAGGCGGATCATAAAGGAGGCTGCTGAAGCCCGCGGAGGTCTTGGAGGAGGAGGCCGGAGGAAAAGAGGATGGGAAGGAGGAGGAAACCTTTGTGACGTGCGACACCTCTCAAAATATTGTTTTGCTGGTTTTGTTATGACTTTGTAAATAGGCGTTGTTTTCTTTATTTGCATCAACCGGTTTAAGCAAAATTCAACAGATACACTTCAGACTCACATAAATATCGTTTCGTCGCTCTCTGAAATTAGGAAACGACGAGATTGCGTATTTTATGGTCGGCGCCGCTGGTCGCAGGCTGAAAACGATCTAAAATCACACGCTGTGATGGTGTAAATACTCGCATTGGGCAATATTTCTTGGCACAAAAAACGCCGGGGAGTGACTTTTGTTCGCTGCAATCTATCTCACGTACAAAGAACAGCTTTGTTTTGCGTTTCGTGTCGTACTGCTCGTATGCCCGCTTCAACGTTGGTTATCAGTTAACGCCGTTATCATTGAGGTTGATGCTATGAGGATGTAAGTGAGCATGCTAATTACAAAGTGACGTTGAGCTGGAAGAATATCGTCGCAAATATTGATTCGGTGGAACTTCAAGGTGAGACTGAAGTTTGTATATGATAGTTGGTTGGGTGTATTGTGGTTATTGTTGGTACATATATTATCGTGACTTATTTTTAGGAAAGTGAAACATTACTTGTTCGCAGATGCATTTGATAAGGAAATACCAGGGGCGATATGCTACACTCTCGCGTTTTGAAAGCGGGCGCCCGGCCGAGAATGGCGCCCAACTGTGATGCATGAAATTCGGGGTCAATCAACCTAGACGGACAGCAGCACTCCAGCTCGCAAGGTCGGGTACTGCCTACCCGTTTTTAACAGATGCGCACCAATCTTTTTGTGTAATGCCTTTTTTGGTATTTTACACTTACTGGAGTACCACTGCGCTACACGAGATCCATGGAAGCACATTTTTGGAAAAATAGTGAGTCTTACTTTTGTTTTCCCCTGTCATGCCTTATTTTCTTACTGGTAAGTTCTGCGGGGGGGGGCAGTATGTATGATTCTTTCGCTCGAATAGAGGTTTCCGGCCGGGTCGTTACCCTACCAAGCAAGGGCGCCCGTACCCGCGATGCATCATTTTGGGATGTTACTCGGGCGAGAACCCGGTTCCTAGTGCATTCTGTGCATGCAACTGGAATTCAGGAGGATAGACATGCAATGCACTCAATGCATTAGTAACGCTGCTTTCTTGTCGGGAGAATCGCGAGGCGTCGAAATCGCGTAAACTTTGTCCGTGGCCTTACGGTTTCAGGTATCATTTCTGTGATTTACAAACGAAAACCTTCACACTTTCTGTTTCCAGTTTCTTCTGTGCACCACTCGATATTTGTGTCACTCCTTATTGGTTTATTACTCCTCAGAAATCATACTAATGAATGATGTGGATATAGATGCTCTTTTTCTGCTTCTTTTGTCAAGGTCTGTCCTTTCAAAAAACACAGTCAAGCCGGATATCATTTTTGGAACTAAAAGGAAAGGGGATATCGTTTTTGTCGCCGAAAACACAAAAATTACGATGTTTTCTTTGGTCGGTTCCGTTTTTCTGGGGGGGGGGGGGGGAAGGGACGAGGTCTTACATTTAGGGCCGCATGCACTAACATTTCCGCTGGGGAGGGGATCGCAGCTTCAGAAGAAAGCTTCATATCCTGAAGCTCAGGATATCTGGATTTCACGCTGTCTACCTGTCCGTAAGTACTCCCACCATCCTTCACTATGAACAGAGCAGAAGCGAGAAGCTGTACAAGCCGCATTTCCCAGCTTTTTGTAGGATCCCCTGATGGTCCCTGGGGGACGAACATCTATTCTTCAAAGTCATTTTTCTTTTTCCGAAGTTAACGAAAACTTTCCAAAGTTATACTGAACAGCTAACACAACAGTGCTAAGCATGTTGCTGATGAGAACAAATGAATTTTTGAAAAATCGAATTTTTCGGTATACCCCAAATTTCGACCTGTGGATCATCGAAAATTTCATGACTTCAAAACATCATTTGTTCTTATCAGCAACATGCTTAGCACTGTTGGGTTAGATAATCTGCACAACTTTGGAAGTTTTTCGTTAACTTCGGAGAAAGAAAAATGACCATAAAGAAAAGCGCCGGGGATCATCAGGGATCATACAAAAGCTGGAAGATGCGGTTTGTACAGCTTCTCGCTCCTGTTCAACATGTTCATAGTGAGGGGTAGTAGGAATACTTACGCATAGGTACACAACGTGAAATCCAGGTCTCTGGTGTTTCGAAATATAAGGCTTTCTTTTAAGCTGCGATCCCCTCCCCGCGGCCATGTTAGTGCATGCGGCCCTTAGGGTTTGGGGTCAAAGGGGACTTCGTACGAAATTTCCAAGATTAAAGGGGACTTTGTTTTGAAATTTCCTTGGTGCCACTCATGCCAAGCCCTGTTCAGAACAGTGTATGTGGGTAGGGGGGGGGAGAAGAACCTTTGAGGCATGAGTTTTGGCGCATTCCAGCAAAAAATAGTCGAGTCGTGGAATTCGTGCTCACAAAACCCTATAGAATTTGCTCAGGCAACGCAGATACAATGACACTGATGCTATATCGAAATAACTGCTATTAGCAAATGAAGGAATCAAACAAGGTTCATAAAAAGTAAGAGTCAAACTCTGAAATCACAGTTATTCAACATTGAAGAAATGCAATAGTTGCTAGTTAAAATCTTGTTCAAATGCAAAAAGTTCAATAAAATATTTGGAACTCTGTACCGCGAGAGAGAAAGGTAAGGTAACATGCGCGAATTAAGCTTAACGCAGAATAGATGCGAAGAAACGGGTGAAGGCGTCACTATCAAAGTACGCCAGGAGGGGTGCACATAGGTGCGATAGGGGAGAGCAGGGTCCTCTCCAGGTGAAGGGAGTTTTGGCTATTTCCGACCTAGAAAAGTGAAGGGGGTAACTGAGTTTTAAGATGAATGCTGCCGCAAACGTGCATGCCTAACGGTAGCGGGAGTGAAAAGAAGGAAAATAAGCGAGATAGAGGTGTAAAATGAAGATTTTCTCAATACTTAGGCCTTCGAAGGTCATCTAACAGAGACTTTTTTGACTCGGGAAAGCTTTGCCTTTTATCAGTCGACATACCTTTCGAAAGCTTGAGACATTAGGCCGTCTCTTTTTTCCCAGCACTCCTGTGAATACAAATATAAGAAATTATATCTAGCTTCAGCATCAACTGATTTTATGCAATCACTTTGCGCTCCATTTCTAAGAGAAAAAGGAGAGCTAGAAAAAAGAGACGGTCTACGTTTTCTGGCAAGGCATTGCTCTGCGCTAGTGTTAGAAAATTAGGCACATTCATTGATTCTTCACGCAGGAATTTCTCGACAAAAACACGCATGTTTCTAGCTAAAATACCATGTATCTCTGAGCAGAGGAGAGCTAGAAAAAAAGAGACGGTCTACGTCGAATCCTTGTTTCGTGAGCTTTCTAATGGTATATAGGTTACTGGGTGAAAAAACTCGCAGTTTTCAAAAATTGAGGTAGAGATATTCAATACTAACTTTCACAACCCTGCTCCGGCTTTCTATTGGGAGCCGGAGCAAGACATTTTTGGATTGGTAAAGCTTTGTGCACCAAAGCTTTGTACACCATTCGATAGCTAAGAACACGAGAAATCGACGTAGACCGTCTCTTTTTTCGTAGCCTCTCTGTGAAGCGAGATACGAGCAAATTTACCCAGCTACAATATCAGCCAATTCTGGGTAATTATTTTTTCAGACCGAGAAGGTTTTTTTTCGAAGTTTATATATGATTCGAAAGTTTGAGAAACGAGTAATCTGAATGCTATTTGTAATTATTTTCTTTAGTGAAAGGAGATATAGTACGATTCTTGTCAGTAAACATGCAACCATCACTGGCTAGTCCAGATTTTCTACTCTTGCTCAACTCTTTCTGTGACAGTGTGTACTCATTGATACAACGTTAATTATTCAAAGAATTAGGCATTTGACTTTTGATTATGTTTCGTTATCAACGCCACTTTGAGTGTGCTGAAGGTCTCAAGCATGCGTTTTATCAACAAAACGCTGTTGCTTCGATACTCTCTTGCAGTTGTGATATCTGAGGAGAAGAGCAGCTGGCGTTTCCTTCTCGAACAAGAAGTGCCGTTGTAACAGTTGTGTTTGATAATGCCGTTATGCCTCTAGTCTCAACCTCAGGTAAAAGGGGTCAACCAGATGCCGGCTTTAAAGGCAGTGTCCGGGCAAAAACTCGATTTTGAGATTTTGTGCTTACTTAGGCCTATTCGCTACGCTGAATCAAAAAATGCACATTGTAGAGCGCGAAATTGGCTAAAAACGGCTCTAACACAGGAGGGAAATGAGCAGGTGGGCGGGGTCCTCCCCACTGCGAATTCATGTTCCCGGCTTTCGGAGCGACCTTCTCACTTCCGGTTTCAAGTCAACCATTCGCACTTGGCCGGTAGCGATGTTAGGACGGCTAGCGGAATCGAGAAAATCGCTCCGAGAGCTGGGAGCGTGAAATCGCATCGGGGAAAGCCCCGCCCACCTGCTTATTCCCTCCTGTATTAGAGCCCCTTTTCGCCGTTTTCGCACTTTCCAATGTGAATTTTCGGATTCAGCATGGCGAATAGGCCTGTATAAGCACAAAATCTCAAAATCGAGTTTTTGCCCGAACACTGCCTTTAAAGTGAAGGGGGTCAGAGAAATTTCTTCACCTATCGCATCTATGTGCATATGCGTCAGCACGCTTGTCGTTGATCCCAAGCTAGAGAGGCCGGGCTCTTGCCCAACATCCCAAAATGATACATTGCGGGCCCGTGCCCGGGTAACGGCCCGGCCGGGTACCTCTACCCGGACGGGAGATTGATGCATACCGCCCCAGAATGATCCGGAAGTTACAGAAAATTGGATGAGTTTTTATCCATAGTGCTCACTCGCAAGCATGGTCAAGCATTGAGTCACGCTACAATAAAGTTAGTAGCAGTTTGGAATTACCCTGAAACTTTGCCAAATGCGGACAATTGAAGAAATTCGAAGCAATTATACTTACTTCTTCTATTTCTACATCTTGAACATCGAAGAGTTTTGTGTAGTGAAAAAGCACTTGCATGCCCACTGAGTCGGCATCGTTTTCGCAATAAATGCGTCTACCTTTTGAATCAATTATCACGCTTCCTTCAGCACTGTTCTGAAGAATCTCCACCTCATACCAACTATAAGATTCCTTTTCATGTTTAGCCCAAGCGATACTCAGAATGTGGCACTAAATAAAATCTCTTATTGAATAGATCCAAATATAAAAGAAAACTAACCTGGTTTCTTCCGCGATACTGTACTTTGAATACCTTAATTTTTGCTTGTGAAGCTAAAAAATAGCTCTCTCTGCTTAGGAGCATGAAACGCATGATAGACTGGAATGGCAAATAACGCAAAACTTCTACTTTTAACTCTGCCGGAAGATCATGCCATTGACATATGCACTCACCAGACATTCAGGCAAACTGAAGTGAAGAGAAAGAACTTTACGATATTTGAACTAAAACTCACTATACTAGTGCACAAAGTTGAAGTGGTCGTTCTAACAGTATAAACTCTCTCATCGGTCAGATAACATCATATATTCGGTTGGTCAAAAGTTCGTGCTTTTCCATATCTATGCTCAAATCACCCAAAATGAACAAAACAAGCGCTCTAAATGAGATTCGGTGCGGAATTGCTTCCTCCTTCAAGCAGTAATGTTTTTGTTCGAAGTCCTTCAGTGGTCGCTCAAGTAATCGAAGTCTTCACCTCATGGTTTCCATCAACTCTTATAGCTATTTTTATAAACTGTTTTTTGGGCGAGCTTTGAAAAGTTGGATAGAGTAGACAAAGTGCAATACAATGCAATTTTTTGGCATCTATAAACGGCTTTTCAAAAATTTTAAAATTGGTTTTTTGATGGAACCAATCTCTACACTTTGACATCACAAATCCCATAGGACAGTAGACAACGAACGTCTGAGGCGTCATTGAATGTTTTTCCAGTTTTTAACAAATATTTATTCTACCCGTCTGTGAAGTCTACGGAAGGAAAATCGCCATAATTTTTGTTTTCGAACGCGGCCCAAGTACCCGGAGAAATCAAAATTCAATATTCCGAAGTGAACGTTCTATTGTTCTTGTAGAATTAGCGTTTCATAATCAATTTTTGGAATTCTCAAATTCCTGAGATTTATCAGTGTTTGAAGCATCTCTGTATTTTACATCGCAATAGTGAAGAATTCTGAAGAGATTATTTTGAAAATGCCGAAAAGATAATCGAGGAAAACCAAAAATATCGTATTGCATTTTGTTTACTCTATTCAGTTGTTATTAAAGCTTTTCCAAAAGCTCGAAATGAAAATTTTGTAGCCGATTAGGATAAGCGAAAACCATGGGTTAGAGATTTCGACGATCATCCGAACGAGCATCGAAGTACTCTGAGCAAAAACGTCATTCCTAAAAAAGGAGGCAATTTTTCTGCATCAAACACCATTTAAAGCGTTAGTCTATCCTTATTCTGAATTTTGACCGGAGGTCTGAAAAACGACACGAGCTATCCGGCCGACCTAATATACAGTGACCGCCAAAAAGTTGCGGACAAGCCTCCCTCCCTTTTTCAGCGCTCTTTTTCAGAAGGAAAACAAGGATGAAAAAATTTAATAATTGCATGAGGTGATAGAGCTCTTCAAGATCTACAAACTACACTTTGAGCTTTTGAGAAACATGTGTTCTAAAAATTTTAAGAACCTTTTTCTAAAAAAAGTCCGAAAATGGCCGCGTCACAATGTCGTGGACAATAATTCTTCGAACGCAAAAATTTTCTTTTGAGTCCTATTTTAAAGCTGAAACACAAGTTATCCGGACGGGTAAGCATACTACTATACAGAGCTCGGCAAGAACTACACACTGGTTATGGTTGCTTCCCCAAAAAACGCAAGCTTGAGTTTTATTTTAGTTTTTCAAAAAACAACTTCTAATTTCATTTATCAAGCCAAATTTCTTCACACGGAAACCTGTTCAAGACATCCCAACAAAGCCGTCTGGATAAAATAGATGCTCTTTGCCATCCTCTATGCATCGGACGTGTGCTGATGAGTTTCTTGGCTGAAAATGGCCCTTGGCAGTGCTTGCACATGACCCCACCTGCACCTCACCACTGACTTGTACCGTTTTGCAAGCTTGTAACTCGGTCTGCAGTCAATATTTGAGCCTGCGATTAGGCTTTTTCGAAAGAACGAGACTTCCTCTACACGATGGTGTGCACATAAGTTCAGTTTGAGCAATCCCAGAGATTTGGCGGATGGGGTGCTAGAGGGCAGCTTCAGTTGTAGTCTAAGCATTTTTCAGCTAAAGTTGAAGAGAGCTCCTTTCGCTATCAATTTCATCCTGGAAGTTCAAACCTGTCAATTTTCTTGTAATAGATCCATTTCGAAGCTCTAAGACTGTTCTGGTGTTCATAAGAGCTTTCACTCTAATCACCTCTAAGGCTGCACTTTTTCACCCCATCCGCCATATTTCTGGGATTGCTCAAACTGAACTTATTTGCATACCGTCGTGTAGGGGAAGTCTCGTTCTTTCGAATGAGTTTAATTGCAGGCTCACATATTGACTGCAGACCGAGTTACAAGCTTGCAAAACGGTACAAGTCAGTGGTTAGGTGCAGGTGGGGTCATGTGCAAGCACTGCCAAGGGCCATTTTCAGCCAAGAAACTCATCAGCACACGTCCGATGCATAGAGGATGGCAAAGAGCATCTATTTTATCCAGACGGCTTTGTTGGGATGTCTTGAACAGGTTTCCGTGTGAAGAAATTTGGCTTGATAAATGAAATTAGAAGTTGTTTTTTGAAAAAACTAAAATAAAACCCAAGCTTGCGTTTTCTGGGGAAGCAACCACAACCAGTGTGTAGTTCTTGACGAGCTTTGTATACTAGTATGCTTACCCGTCCGGATAACTTGTGTTTCCGCTTTAAAAAAGGACTCAAAAGAAAATTTGTGCGTTCGAAGAATTATTGTCCGCGACATTGTGACGCGGCCATTTTCGGTCTTTTTTTAGAAAAAGATTCTTAAAATTTTTAGAACACATGTTTCTCAAAAAACTCAAAGTGTAGATTGTAGATCTTGAAGAGCTCTATCACCTCGTGCAATTATTACATTTTTTTCATCCTTGTTTTCCTTCTGAAAAAGAGCGATGAAAAAGGGAGGGAGGCTTGTCCGCAACTTTTTGGCGGTCACTGTATATTTCGACTAACAGGTGAAACCATGTGGAGTGAAACAATTTTCAAATTCCTTATTATGCTGTTAAAGACAACCTGTTACGCTGTCAGGGAGATGAATGACAAAGTACTTAACTTTTGGTGCTGAAGAAAATCTTTTCAAAACCTTTTTACATCAGGCACGCAAAACCGCAAGACCTTTGCAACACGCATTCAGTAAAGAAAACCTGACTGACATTCATACTGGCACAGCAGCGTTTGAAAGAGTGAACTGTTAGAAAATCAATTGGCTACAACTAATTATGTAGGATCACATACGAGCATATTCGTGAATTACTCACGCAAACTGAAATAAAATAATTGCTCAAAATAAAATAGCACAAATGCGCACAAAAAGCTGGCCACTTCAAACCATGTGATCTGATGTTGGAGCATCAGCATCTTCAAAATAGAATGTCGGGAAAATGCATAAGCGTTTTTCTTTTATGTAAGACCAACATTTCACAATACCGCAGTCATTGTCATGAAATTCGTAAGCGATGACTCATATACCTTGACTTTCGAATTGCCATGGCTTTTTAACTAAAGTGATTGAGTCAAAAATTGTTATACTGCGCAAACTATTACCATGCATCTAATGGACGCTCTCTATACAAAACACAGAAATAACCAAAAAAATCCGCAGGCGCATTGTGCAAATGCGCGCCCTTATCATCAACAAACCCAGTGGGTAGGCTTAACCCACGAAATTGGTATTCACGAAGCTAATTGGTTGGCGAACCCAGCGGTGCTTCGAACCGATCCAATGCAGTGACACTGTTTTCCCTTGACCCATTTGTAGCGGAACTCGCTGGATTCGTTAACACGTTTCGAACCGGTGCTGCACATGGTGCAGCACGCGGCTTTGAAGGCTCTTTTTGACGTTTACAAGAAGTTTTCTTTTTATCCAAGGGTATCAAGTCAAAGGCCTAAGCTCCTTCTTTTCAAATGACTTTGTAGAGCTGTGCCGCGCGTATTTGTTTAGGAGATATGAGGACAAATCGAACAACAATTGCAACGAAGTGCGGCAACGCGAACGACGCGTGCGGCGTCGCAACTTTCCTTTGCTTCGATTCCAAAGAGAAAAACCGTAGCTTTATAATGATCTGTACCGTGTACAACATAGATACTTTTGAATACTATTTGGAACTGAGTTCTTACTCCTATCCTCCAAGAAAACACGAAAGTTCCTCTCAAGCGACAAAATTGAAACACTTCGAATTCACTCAGAACTTTGGGTGTGGAGCTTATCTGAAATGCTGATTACAAATGTGGCCCACAGGCTGCGAAATGAGGTCCCTTTGTAGGCTAACGGCTGGAAGTACACTCTTTTTTGCCGCGCGCGATTTCGCGGTCCGAAACGTGTTAACGAATACGCCACTGATGGTGTGGACAGAAACATCATCGTTGCCTTTAAATAGCCTCAAAGCAATCGTCAATGAGGGCTCGTCAAAAGATGGTTCATAGTTTTTGAAAATGTCTCCGTTAAGCTCACAACAAACATAGCTCAGACAATTGTATCGGGAAGTTCGCGGGTGCTTGCTCGGCCACCAATCATCCATGCCGGAGCTGCCCGGTATACACCGACATTGGACCCGGTAAGTGACCGCGGCGCATCCTGTAAGCGCCCGATAGTTGACCGGATTAGCATGCTTGTGAGGCGTAGGAAGAGTGGAAAAATTTTAGCCTGTGTTTCATGACAACGACTGAGTACAAACTAAGCAACATGTTAGCTCATTTGTCGACACCATCTACTGTCGTCGATAACGGTCAACCGATTGCTGAAGTTTGTTTCGTGAGCATATAAACTCAACCGTCACACAATCCAACCTGAGAAGCGATAAACACCCCCGCTAACACTTAGGGTAGCCCCATCGCTGCGGCGTACCTCACGCGGGTTGCTCCTTAAGTTACAGCGTGCAAGAAGTGCGGCCTTTGATAAGGCCCGCGGCACGCCGAGTGAGGTGATTGGGCCGCGACTCTCCCGATAAGCTCTATCCAATTTTAACTTTGGCCGCGGCGTTCCCGGTAAAATATACATGGGCCGCGGCGTGCGCGGCTGAAATTTTAAGGGCCGCGGCGCCCCATGTAGCACGCTTTGAGGCCGCGAACTTTCCGATGCAATTGTCTGAGTAGGATATCCCTCATGAAATGGTCATGAGAATCGAACATAACGTCCACATTACATAGAAGCTAGAAGGGAATACAAAAGATGTTAAAGCGATAATTTAAAAAGCTTATAATGTTTGTATCTCTGCATTGACAGTACGCTATGTCCAGCGCCCACATTCGCGCGCTTGGAGCAAGGTTGCCGCGGCCATTCAAAATTTTTGGAGAGCATAGTCAGACGAGGAAGAGGGTCTTCGGGGAGGGTCAAAAATGAATCAAACATAACATTCAAAAACTATTACGTTGGCCAACAAATAATTTCGTTTTACATGCAATTTCGAAGCTCCTAAAAATTCACGTACTTGTTCTTTAGCTGCAGTTTTTGTGAGCAGATAGCTTCAAGCTTTAACTATCATATACTCATCGTGATCGAAAACAGTTATGACCTTATATGGCTAGCTTTCCAAAAGATCACCTTTTTGACTTTCCAAGTTTTGTACTCAGCTTTTATTCAGTGCAGAAAAGAGTAATTTGTTAGCTAATACAATCCTTGCCTACATGGCAAGTAATGGCAAGTAACGATGGACGCTGTGACCAGGGCCCGGCACGCGTTGGTTTGGAGCATGTTTGGAAATGAAGTCGCCTATGATTCCGCGAAAATTTACGAAGTCCCTTTTGAGGTAAAAGTCAGTAGGAAAACCCTTGTTCAATCAACATAAGAGAACATAACGATTTTTAAAAAAGTAAAAAAAGGAGTTTTGAGGTACCTAATTTGATAAAAAGGTAAAAAAACATTCTGAGTCTATTCAATTTTTGCGTATGTTACCATTTTAGTGTTCGGAACGTTGAAAACCTCTTAGGCCAACCAAATCTGTGACCTCAGGAATCTGGCTATGCATTTTTCGCCACATAGTTCAAAGGACACCGCATGTGATTGGAGCGCGATATCTATCAGTGCTTTGGTTTACACTTTTGGCTCAAAAAAAGAGGAGAAGCAGTGGTTTGATTCGCTCTCTTCGCTAGATAGATTTTGGAGCGTTCTCTTCGTCCAAGTCGAAAAGGTCCAAAACTTATGTGAACTCTCCGATATTTATGCTCCGAACCAACCCAGTTGGTTTGGTGTTGGTCTAGAAACCAACAAATTCGGGAACGGGTATTAGGACACATAAGTTTTTGAAACTTCTTACATAATGTTGCTTGGAGTAATATTGTATATACACAGCCCAAATTTGGCGTTACGTGATTGCTTGTGCGCTGAAAACAAGCCATCTGTTTGTTTAGGTCTTACGTTTGAAATCCGCGCGCTTGCCAAAGAACACGTTCAACTCGTATAACCTGACATGTTTGTCGATTTTTTGTGGTGCTTCGCCCAGGACCTTATAAAAACGATATCCCGTTGCTTCTAACCTCAAAAACGAAGTCCAGTTTGACTCCGAACCATCTGTGCCGGGCCCTGGCTGTGATCTGTTGTTTGTGTATTTCTGCAGCCAGAATGTGAGAATTTTCAGGTATCTGCGAGTGGAAGCCATTTTTGGGGTAAACTAATCATTTGAATTTGACCATTTATGGCCATGCTAATGGTTGAATATATCAAAATTGTAAGTGTGCCTACCATACGTGCACCTTACATTCAATTTCAGTTTGTTTTTTAGGAGCATGATTTTTCGGAAATTTAAAGGAAAAATCTGGCTATTTTGCTTTCCTGCATCATTTCGCTATCAAAAAACAAATCTCTGAGCAAACAAAGTTAACCAACAAAGTCCTTCTTGATTTACTGTTTCGAATGGTGCTATACATTCATCATCATTACAAAAACCAATTTGTAACACTTCTACAAACCATAAAATTGACAAAATTAGTTTTTAGCCAATCTATTTGTTACAAAATGATTGTGTAACGCAGTAAATGTATAGTAACATTGGAAAGAGCGAATCAAAGAAAATCTGAAGGTCAGCTTCTTTTGTTTTAAAATTATTTTTGGTGAGATGGCGTGGAAACTTCAGAATTTTTACTAAGATATGGCGCAGAAATCAGATTTTTTTCACGGCAAAGAACGAATTTACAAGGGAAAGATACCAACATTAGTCTGCGATTGAAGATGAGATGCATATTAGTAGAAGCGCCTTTGAATGCTGATTCCAAATCTGCTTTCCTTTTTGCGGAACAAGTTTCTGAGTGTGTGATTGTCCAAATTGTCAAAGTTTAGGTGGCCTAAAATTGGGGAAAGGTTGTACAAAAACACCGGGAAGTAGAAAATCACTTTTGTATCGAGTGTATTGTTTGCAAGGAAGGAACAAAGCCGGTGGAATTTGCACAGGTATAGTTTTGGAGCTTTTAATTTTAAGCATTCAATGCTTGGCAAATTTGTACATTCAAACGCTCATAACATCTTTCGGAAACCTATTCCGCAAAAAAAGGAAAGAGACATGGAATCAGCGTTCAAAGGCGCGTTCAAAGATACACATCCCATCTCAATCGCCGACTAATGTTGGTATCCCTCCCTTTAGTTCGGGTGTAAATGTACGTTTGGCACCTAACAACAAATAACCAAATTTTTAGCCAGCATGGTCATGGGTGGAGATTGAACGTTCCGGATTGCCCAAAACTGGCATGGTATGCGCATTTACGATTTTGATATATTTAACCATTTGCATAGCCATAGATGGTCAAATTCAAGCGATTTGATTTGCCCCAAAAATGACTTCCACGCGCAAATACCTTGGCATTATCACAATTTTGGCTGCAGAAATTCACAACAGCAGATCATTATTTCCATTGTGGTTCGCCATGTAGCCAAAGGTTGTTTATATAAAATTGGAAGGATAAAAAAGTGATTTGCAGTAGGCTAGCTATATAAGGGGTATTTGTCATCTAATAACGGAAATTCTGATATCTGATATGTGAGAGAAGAGGCTGAAACGTACTCTTTACTAAAAATTTTAGCTATATAGCTGTTCTTTCAATTGTTGCAGAGTTTCGAAATTGCATGTCAGAACGAAATTAATTACTGTCCAGCTAATAATTTTTGAATGTTATGTTCAATTCATTTTTGAACCTCCCCAAGACCCTCGTCCTCGTCTAGCTACGCTCCCAAGTTTTAAATGACCACGGCAATCTTGCCTCAAGCGCGCGATTGCGGGCGCCGGACATGGCGCCTTTTGACAGGTTAACTACTGACCCAAAAATTACATGAGCCAGGCAATCCTTGCTGTGAAGAGAAGTGGAAGTGGTTTTGACTTGAAACTATAATTACGCTCCCAGCCGTCTCAGGTTCAAGAAGCTTACAATTTTTTTGCAAGCTGAGTGCTATATGTATCCTGCAAAATTCTGAGCTTGTACATCCAAACAAATTCTAGCGATCCATTTGTAGGCAAGGAAGTGTCTCTTTGCATTCTCCAAACAAGATGTTTTCTGTCAAGAAAAGTTTAGCAATATAATTAATTTATTATTTTCTGCGTACTTCACAAGGCATAAACAGATCTATGTGAGACAATTTCAGAAATAAACTTGGAGGACCTTTAAAACACTGAACCCGTAATCTAGTGCTTCGTAACAGTACTGAGTAACAAACGTAATGGATAACGAAAGGATGAACAAGGTATAAAGCGTCACAGTAAAGCTACGAAGAGATCTGCGATACCCATAGCGGCTACCCATACCCTTTTTAGCCATTTACCTTGTCCCCGTTGATCCATAAAGTGGTAGCGCAAAAGTTCTGTCAAATACAATCATTGACCAAAAAACGAGAAGTCAAAAAGATAAAAGGAAATGCATAACAATGCATAATACTGGATCAAGGTAATGCCAGGCAGCCAAGTTGTCTAACAAAATCATTTCGTTCAACTTTGGTGGTGGTCCTGTTCAGCTTTTGCAGCACCGCTTTCAGATTAAGCTTCACTAACTCGCTTCCATCGAGTAACAATGATTCGCGGTAGTGGTATTCTGCCAGCTCGTATTGAGCCCAGCGTTGGTACACCACTCCTTGAAAGTGATTTATAAGGAGAACTTGCAGTTTTGATGATGTAACCTACCCAAATTAGCATGATACATAGCATTCAAAGGGCTAAGTTGTAGAGCCCTTTTCAGATGCCATTCTGCTTCCAAAAAGCTACCATTTTTCCCAAAGCAAGTGCCCACTTGGAATGCTATTGGGGCCACGTCTTTTAGCATGGCTTCCGGTAGAGTCTTTGCAGTTTCGAGCACATCATCGCACCGGCCAAGCTCATCCAGTAGCACGAAAAGATTGGTTACTGCTTGATTGTGGTTGGGATCAACTCTGAAAATTAGGAAATGAAATTAAAATCCATCATGTATCAATCGAAATAAGTTATGATAATTCACAAAAATTAGATTAGAAGTTCTTTGTGCTGCTCACACCTCGTTGCGATTCTCCAGGCATTTAGTGCGCTCTGTGGCTGACCTATTCGTTGGTATAAGTTACCCAGATTGAACAAGCAATCGACGTTATTTGGTCGAAGATGCAGAGACTTCCGGTATGCTCCTAGCGATTCCTGTAATGTCAGAGTCATGCGCCGGAAACAGAAGAGAGACGCTTTTTTTACCTGGTACTTCCCCTGGTTCATCAGGGTTATGCCGAGATTCATCCAAGCTACCGCGAACGTTGGTCTTTTACGAAGGGCTTGTCTTAATAGATGCTCTGCGTCTGCGCTTCTTCCTTTGGATTCCAGAATATTTGCCAGGTTATTTAGAGCGTGCTCGTAGCTTGGATTCAAACTAAAACCACAGTTAGGCTTGAAATCGGTTAAAATTAGAAAATGGCGCTTACCGTATGGCATTCCAATAGTTATGCTCAGCCGCGTCAACATTCCCGGTTTTGCCCAACACCTTTCCCAGATTATAATGAATCTTGGCATTTTCTGGACAGACTCTTAGCCCGCTGGTATAGAGATCCAACTCAGTACGCCATTCCTCACATCGCTGTAACGCTCGTGTTCATTGAGAACCATCTGAGATACGCATTTGCCAAACCTGGTATGTTATTGTCATAGCAATCACAAGAACTGCTAAGGCAATCTTGTCCGTGTTACGGTAGTGACGTGATGCCCGCGAGTACAGTACGCCTGCCATGACGCAAAGGCCAACCGACGGTAGATACAATACACGCTCGGCCACGGTGAATCCAACGGTAATTAGCAGATTACTAGCAGGTAGGAAACTAATTCCTCCAAGAATAGCACCAAAGATCAAGAGCCTGGAGTGCGCAAGGTTGAAAACTGAATTTTAGTTCGAGGACATACCTATCATCAAGCTTGTAAAGAATGTAGAGGGTAATAATTAGCAGAAATGCCACTGCAGGTAAGGACAGAACACGGTAGTCACTCCAGCTCGTGATTGGTGGAACGCAGCCCATACTGTAGTCAAAGCAGAGCGAGTACGGTAACAGCAGCAATCGGAGATTGATCAACCATAGGTGAGAGTAGGAGGCCACCTGCGAATAATACAGATTTTTTATTGGCATCATCGGCCTTAATTTTGATTTCAATGTCCTGAGAATCAATGTACAATGTACCTTGTTCAAGTTACAATCAATGTACCTTTGCAATCGTACGAAGTCGTAGATACTTACCCTCAAAATTGAGTCTTTGACATAAGCTGCTGGATTGTCCAGTTCCGTGAATTTTGGTGCGGTAAAGTTGTTGATGTAAATCCGCAGATATGTCAAAAATGAAGTAAAGATGAAAAGCATGAAGCATCGCAAAGCTGCAGCTCCGTATTTTTTCCTAGTGTCGAAGCAATGTAAAGCTTCCAGAAATACGCAAATTGGCTGGAACACTTGTAGTGATTTCAGTTCATCAGTTCTGATGCCCATCTTACCAGTACAATAATGCCTTGTTCCTTGCTGAATACTGACAATACCACCATGATAGAAAACAAAATGATCGCTCTTCCTTCAAAGTCCTCTCGAATGTGCTTTTGATAGCAAATGAGTGCAAACAAAGCGAGAACGCTCATCAGAAGTTCTGCCCTGCCAGAGATGTTAGCAACCTAGAAGAAGTAGTTTTGCAAATTAGTTATGGGATGGATCCTCCTTACCGCTTCGGTATGCACTGGATGGACAGCGAAAAGTGCCGAAGCCACGAAAGCTTCATCACATATAAACGATTGCTCGGTAACATGCCGTAACTCTCGTACAAGTAAGAAGACCAGTAAAGAGGCTATGGCATGTAAAGCGATGTTGGGCAAGTGATACGGTAGTATCCATTCACCATGGAAACGGTAGTTCAACCTGAAATGGTCTCTACTGAATTTGACAACTTCTACTCATTTCAGCCTAAATAGTGATGAAAGTTGAAACTATTTTGATCGTTTTGGATTCAAGAATACTTGAGGATAATAACAGGGTCTGTTTCGTCTTTTGCAATTCATCAATCGCATGGACACTAGAAATAAATTTATTAAGGAAACCGCCTTTTATATCGGAGAGAGCACATTCGTTTTCATCACAGTAATCTCTCTCTCCCTTCCTGCAGTCAATCCCTTATCATCTTAGTAAGACTAGGGATTAGAACATATGATTAGCCACGAAGGTGTTAATTGCTAGTCGACAAATGCGCGGACGATTACGCTACTTACCAGCGGATTTGCATAAGATGCGCAACAATGAATAGTCTGTGCTGAACACTGCATTCATTTACTGAGTGGTCCCATGGGTGTTTGTCGTTTTGTTTGGGAGGAGGATGGGTCAAGTAGGAAGTATGAAAGAAGGGAAAATATACAAAGCAAATAATCAGGAAACAACACCTTCCAAATTCTTTTAAGCATCTCGAATAAAAGTTACTGCTGGTGATGGACAAAAATGTGAAGGAAATAAATAAAAAAGACAGCTTCCAAACTTCAATCCTGCTCGAAGAAGTTCTGACTGGTAACAGACAAAAAAATTATACTTTTATTACTCCTTCTTCTCATCCTTGAGAGGGGTGGGGTTGTTCTTGAATTCAAACGTTGCGTGATCCTTCTTTCTCAGTACATGAGTCCTTCGGGACCAATTTATATGCTAGTCTTTATGCGTGGGTGTCAAATTACTTGTACGACAGCATTTGCATACATTTCCAGCAGCAGCCATACTAAGCTTTAGCGTTTTATAGATGCGCAATCTGCATACGAATACGTCTTTGGCATTCTTATGGCTTCCAAGCCATGAGCGTCAGAGTTAATGGATGAATTATGGCCGAAAAACATGCAGGTGTGCTTTTCGGAGGAAAGAACATTCATCATGTCATGTATACACGACCTCTAGAACGCAATAGATGTGAACATTTATGAAGGTGATTGTAAAGAAGGATTTTGGCATGATGAACGACACATATACCCTAAAATCCGTCATATAAGATTGGCTCGCAGTAAAGACCGCCTCGCCGATAAGACCGCAAAAGAGCTCTCAGTTAAGTCCGCTTTCGTGACAGCCTCGCGCGCCTCGCGCGCCGCCAAGTCCCGCGGATAAGTCCGCCTTATTTTTTCACATAAAAACAAGAAGAATGCGCAATTGCGCTGCCATTTTTCTCAGAATGAACCGAAGCAACAAATCTTTATTCAGTTTCCACTCCATGTTTATCATCATCAAAACGTGCCGTACTGCCGGCCAGATTCCTGCGCTAGCTGCAATGCCTTCGCTCGAATGTCCTCGACAAGCACTGCTCTGCTTGCTTCCCGCCTCTGCACAATCCATGCATAGACAGCTTTCTCGATCTCCTCTACCTTTTGCTTCCCATAACGGTTGGCGCGTTTCCTCAGTGGCATATCCTCCAAATTCTCCTTATCGGCCTTCCATCTTCGAATCAGACGATCAGAGACTTCGTAGTAAACAGCGGCAGCCGATGTTCCATGTTCCAAGGCATATTGCACCACGTTAAGCTTAAAAAGCGCGGTGTAGGACTTCCTTCTGATAGCCATTGAGATGCGAGACACCTGAAAAGCTTGAGTCAAAGCATGTGAGACTATGCTGGAAATATAGGGCCCCGCGTGATTGTGAACTTCGCTGAGTTACCGGTCATTGCACACTGGAATCACGCGGAGTCCTATAAATTTGCGCTGGTCATCGAAAGGTTTACTCTTTTATACAAGGAAAAGCAGGCGGCATCAAATTTGACTACACTATCTTTTGTCTTGGATGTACAGGCTTAATGAAACAACAATTGAGGAAAATAACAAGGAAGCCTAATGCTTTGCTAAGGTTGAGCATTCTCAGACTGTCACTCTTCCGTTCAAGAAAGCATTTGACAAAAGCCGTATGGCATGGGTCAACAGAGACTACATTCAGAACATGACAACAATAGAGGAAGCAAAAGTGTAGGAGTCAGGTTCAAGGGTTGTAGCCTGTACGGGTTCGAGAGATGTAGTGAAAACATTGTCGCCTCCAAAACGATAAGATGAATGATAAGTTGAGATGATTGCAATGATGCAATGATGAAACCTATTATGATTCTTTTCATCGGCAGAAATCGCTCAATTTCATACAGGTGTCATATATAGGAAAAGAACTCACCTATCCAGCGTACGCGATGAAGAATCCGCGACGACCACCAAGTAGACTGTACGACTTGTCGAATCCTTGGGCTCTTTCTTTCAGGCGATATCGCGGCCTCGTTTAAATCTACACTGGCAAGCCACGCGAGCGGTCGCGCGCGTCTGTGCTCCTAGGTCGCGCTTGCTCATGCTCAGGACAGACGGACGTATCTGCGAGACGATTTAGGCGGACTTATCTGTGACACCCTTTGCGGCGTTTTTCCATCGATTTTCCTGCCAAAACTGCAGATAAGTCCGCTCTTATATGACGGATTTTAGGGTAATAGCTGCTTGAAGGAAAGGACATGAGAAAGGACATGAATGGGTCTGCAAGGCTATAGCTAAGTTTGTGTCTCTTTGATCGCATTTTCACTGGATACAAATTCTGCGGCTTTCCAAAACGGTGATTGGCTGGGCGCGCACGGATGGGCGGGAATGGATGGGCAGGGCGGTGCCGTCTGGGGGTCCTCGTGCATCTTCGTTATTCTGGAGCGATTTTCTCGGTTCCAAAGGGACATTTTGCGCCGCGACTTGGGCATTGCTTGAAGGGGCCTACAATCATATCATACCATACACATATGCTACCAAAAGCTGAAGACCCTCAACTTAGGATGGACGGTGCCTTTAAACGTAGGATTGTGGAAGACTTGCCACTCCCTCCCTCGCTAATTTCAAGAGGTCTTCTTCAAACAACCAACTTCTTTCGAGAAAATGCTAGAGAGAGAGAGCTATGCTTAGGCCCTGACAGATCGCGACGTTACTATGAGAGATGGCATTATTTCCATATGCTACCTCTCAGATCCTCGGATACTTCTCAGTGATAGATCATCTGTGCAAATAGATGTAAAGGCGATAAATGCCCATTAGGCACGTCAGCGAGTGCCATGGGAGATTAAGGCATTCGTAATTTGAAACTCAGCGATTAAACGGCTCTGACTGACAGGACTAATGAAAGCTGGTAGAGTAAATCCGACCACCATGATGAATCACTCTATTCCAGTATTTGGCAATGCTCTGTACCTTTCAAGTGTTTGTGCTGTCAGACAGCAGAAACGAAGCACTGCATTATTGGATGCGCAAGGAAGGCAATATATGTAATTGGCATGATAATCGAGGACCTACATCATTAATAGTAAGCTTCACACCTAATTAATAGAAGTGGGCCTGTGTGTCTTTGCCACGACAGTGAGTAAAGAGGGGGCACATGTAAAAGTTCTAGTGCTATCAAATATACTGAGTATATTGATACAACGCTCTTATCCATGTTGTGAGGGTTAAGTGGGAATTTAGACTTAGAGCGCTGGAACTCTTGCGGGTATAGGACCAGCTCCTCAGGGTAAATCGTCGACTCGACGGGAGCCCCTTTGATATTTCTCCGAAAGCTTATTTCAACAGACCGCAGCATGACTCTTTCTCCGTAGAAGGCTTCGCGAAAGTAATAATCCGATAAAATGCACGGTGCGAGGTACAAAGTGCACAACATGCGTTGGTAATCGAATCATTTGCCATTTTCACTATATCGATGTGCGAAACCGCTCACGACATCTCTCTCATATGAACTTCCACTTGAACTTATTCCTATTTAAGCAGCTCAATGAAATTTTTGAACGCCAGTTCCTCGAATTTGTACTTGTCGATAGCTAGAATTCTTTAATAAGAGTTAGGTATTCTTTCTCAGTCTTCATCCGATCATCACCCCAAGCGCAGTTATGATCAACTATGTAGCTTTTCAACCGGAATTTATTTCCGTCAAACCGAGAATAAAAGACAGAGATTTCAAGATGAATAGAGCGATTCGCATGTCTGTCGCATGTTTACAGAGATATTTTTTCTTTAAATAAATACACAGTAGCTGAAACAAAAGAAAGCGAACACTTTATGAGGGACAACCTTAGTTAATTTCATTCTTTAGCTAAATACTGTGGTGTAAATATTACCACCCCTCGTCACACATCCAATTCAAATCCCATTCTTTTCGTCGCCTCTGATGGGCCAATAAAAGCTACTTCGCAAATGAAAAACTCAACGTGCGCAAACGATGCTCTTCGCTCAACAATTGGACGAGTTTTGGATGCAAGTAAAAAGATTTCGATGCTTGTTTCAAACATATGAAATTAAACAATGGATTGTGAGAAGTTTGCGAGGGCGATCGCATCGGAACAAGAAAGGAGATGGACAAGAATATTGACCCCTTCTTTCTAAAACAAAGTGTTAGAAAGAGGTAGAGGGTGTGCTGGATTTTATCGCTCAAAAGTCAGTAGGACATGAAGAAAAAGAAGCAGTGGTTTGTGTAAAATGGAGAAAAAGAAGCCGCGGTTTGTGACTTGATAAACGAACGAGGAATGGTAAATATTTGAATTATAGGGAATAGATGAATTGTAGTGCTTTCATAAATAGGCGAATATTTGCTGATGTTTTGCAATATGATGAAAAGGCGAAATCGATGCGTTCGAATCGCTAATTTCTGAAATGAACGAAAGAGGCACATTTAATAAAAGCGACACCCACCAGAATGTCAGCGTCGTCAATGGCCTGTAACTCTTGTGACTCTGCGGTGAGGCGATAGGATGTCCCCAGTAGTCCGTGGTGAAAACCTAGAGTAGTAAAGCAATAATCCGAATTTCAGGCAAACTTACTCATGTAAAAATGCGACTTTCCATTAGTAGAATTGAAAGTTTACAAGAGCGGAAAATCCTACGACAAACCTGCTTTAGCGGAGTTTTTCCGATAACTACCGGGTTGTTGAGGATGGTGGCCGAGTCGTCGAAGACAAACTCGCCGTCAAGGGACGGAATGTAAGGACCAGTAGCTAATACGGTGATTATGACCAATTTGAGCCAATCATAATTCCTCAAACAGTTCTGGTCTTTATGTGCAGGTTCTAAAGTTTGAGCGTTGCTTTTGCAAAGGATTTGCTGATTTGATTCCAACGCAGTTATAAAGGAGCGTAAACAATTTGCTTGCCGCCCACCTGCACCTTCCAATTCTCGCTTTCGTAGCTTCGCTTTGTTACGCTTCATTCTCAAGCAGTCATAGCAAAAGAGTCACTGAAAATGAAATCATGATATAATTTGAAAACACAAGTTATATCTTGGGGGAGGAGGCGCGAAATACCGTTCAATGGGCCTACAATTAGGAATAGTTCTTTTGAGGGCAGCTCTTACAGTTGACCTCTGCTGAGCTATAACTTTGAGCTACTCCTTACCTAGAGTAAAACAGAGAGAAATTTCTTTTTGTACGATTTTCACGCAGCAGAAATTGAGAAGAAACTAGTGTACGATTGAAAGCGCCAGCTAAGTGCAAGCTATTGTTCAGCAGAGAAGGACAAAAGTCGAGCTTGCTAGCTAAGAATAGACGGATAGACAGAATCGGTCAGATTTACGCTAGGTGGTAATCTCATGCGCATTAGTAGTTTGATGAATATTCATAAGGCTAAAATGGACTAGAGGCAGGTGAGATGTTGATAAGCAGAATACAATTTCACCAATCAAAACGAAAGGTAAGCAGAAGTTTTTTATAGACAAGGTGAAACAGAGTAACTGATTCAAGATGAGAGATCCCACGGAGAAGTGGAAAAACGAGCAGCTTCCTCGTAAAGAATTCGTAGCAAGTCATTCATCAACTGCGTTTTGGTCTGACAAAGTGGTGGTCTTCGGTATTTAAGAAATGCTCAATCTTCTAAGCGCCCCCGTCCATCTGTGCAATGGCCCGTGGGAAGGATTAGTGAGAGAAGCGATGCAAATGACCAGCCACGTCCCCTTCAAATGAGAGTGCTTTTCTCTATTGAACCTATGCGGGTATCAGTCTTTCTTGACATTTTTAGCACCCAAGTGACCCCAGTGTGGGGTTGCGTAATGTGTGAGCAGCTGGCTGACCAAGACGCCGTCAAAGCAAAGCGGCTACGATGGAGAGATTGACACATATCCTTCCCGTCGTCCCGTTCATGAATCGCGATGACAAAGAGCAGGAAATGCTGTCTGTGCCGACAAGGGATTGAAATTTCAAGCGTGAACGAACTGCGAGTGTGCTATACGTTTGGAGGACGCGAAACAGCGAAAAGCAAAGGGGAAAGGTGTGCGAGGGTGAAATGAAGTGGTCGTAGAAACTGCACGAATAATGTACGAGTTGGGTGATGGATATAGACAAATATGCACAAAAGTGATTCGAGGATATTTTGAATGAAACTGCGTCGTTTCTTTTAGAGTAGCAAACGAGAATTTAGTTTGTAACGTTGCTTGCTTTTGCTGCGAAGGTCCTGGAGAACATAGCGCGGTGGATTCTATCCAACAATGGGCGTGCCAGCTGTAGCTCGTTTTCTCCACGTGCTCCTAGACAGAAAACGTTGCTGCCGGATACCGAGTCGCTCTTGATGTGTTGCCGGAAATGGACGATTTAGTGCAGTTCTGACTTCTGCAGCTGTGTACGAAGTAATAGAAGAGCTGCTAAGTAAAAGCTTGCGATTGTTGACTATACAGACTCTCTCTATTTTAAAGGCAGCGTCTCAGCAATGTCATGGGTTTCAAGATTTTACAGCGTTGCAAAAGAAGGCCCTCAAATAATCCATCAGTGAAGGGAGCGAAAAGCTTTCTGGGAAGCCTGAAATCCACTCCAGAAAGTCTTCTAGACCTCACCCCCTCACACCTAATTTAGAATGAGTTTGGAATGGACTTGAAGAGCTTCGGAAAAAGCTCATTTTAGCCATTTCTTGCGCTGAAAAGCACAGATATCGTTTCAGCAACGAAAAAGCTCCGAAAAGGTGAAAAACCGGAAAGTAAAATTTTGCCGGGACACTGCAATTAATAAAGCGGATTTTCGAAGAAAGTATGTATAACATTCGAATCAGCATATAAATAGTGCGACTTCGCAAAAAATCTTGGCGCGTGAATAAGTAAGTAATCGCAGATGTTTAATGCAAATGGGACAAGCAATTGAGTGGCCACTGCTGGTAAGGGTGAGTGCAAACGGGTTAGCACTACGGGGCGCGTCCTCAAAACAATTAAGCACGACAGAACGGTGACAGAAAGGCGGAGAGGAAAGTGGAGATGCCTCGTAAATAGTTGTTGTCGCAGCGGAAATGATCAAGTTCTTCAAAACACATCAAAGTACGTATCAAAGCTAAGCATAAGTTTTATCCATTTGACCAATGTTTATTCTGATTCAATTGTTGTGATCAAAATCGCTTGAAGTCATAAAATGATGGCGGATTTTGTTTGTATCCAATTCTCAACAAATCGCGAAGTGCAATCCGAGTGGATTTTTTCAAAATGAGACTCATGAGTTTGAATTAATAATACGCTCATTTTCTATGCACAGTGCTGAAGTTGTTTGCATTCTGGGCTACAAAAATGAGCCACTGCTTCAAAGTTAGCATATTTCCCTCATTTTTTCCAAGAACTAATGTAGACGTAAAATCAAACGGAAAATCGTTGACATCGTTCTTGTTCAAAGCAGATTAGCAAGTTGACCATCACAGACTGGAAACCGTAACAATTTTGTAAGAACTATTGAGTCAAGAGCACTATGAACAAAAGAGTTTATGATAAAGACATTGACAGTAGGCGCGAGAGAATGCAGACCAGAGGAAGTCAAAAAAAACGAAATAAATCAAAGAAAACAGCTTCAATGCCACAATATAAAGCTCTCTACGTAATCCGCGAAGAAGCTGCGAGCTGGTAGCACAAGCTTTGACCATACATTGCCGGTGTTACCGGTGTGACTAATATTACTGGTGTTACTAATGTTACTCGCGTTACCAGTGTTACTCTTGTTGCCTGTCTTACCAATGTTACCCCTGTTACCCGTGTTACTAGTGTTAGTAGTGTTACTCACCAATCAAGGAGATTGAGTTCTAGAATAAGAGTGTATTTGTGAAATTCACTACTCAACAACAATAAAAGCGGTAACAGTGGTAACACTTGTAACATTAGTAACACGAAACACTGGGAACACGAGGACCATGGGTAGCATGGTAACTTGGGTAACACGAGTAGCACTAGCATACGAGTGACAGTGGTAACACGGGTAACACTGGTAATGTATAGTCAAAGTCATAACCATCAGCTGCATTTTGGAATTTCAAATTGATTCGCTAGAAGATATCAATCTTCTAGCTACTGAGAAGCGCCCCCGCCATCTGTGCAATCGCCCACGGCGGGGATTATTGTGAGAAAAGCAATGCAGCTGACGAGCCCCGCCCTCTTCAACAAATATTGCTCCTCCTTCAACAAAGCACCCGGGTATCATCTGCTTCGAGCTTTTTCTATGTCTCCAGCAGAGTTGCGTAATCTAGCAGCTGATTGAACAAGACGATGCCAAATAGCAGCGGCTACCATGGCGAGATTATATTTACATCTTCTCCCTCAATCCCTAAAATAGTAGAGATGACAAAGAGCAGGAAATGCTGTCTGTCCGACAAGGAATTGAAATTTCAAGCTTGAACAAACGAGCAGTACAAATGGGAATATAGTCGGTGCGAAGGGCAAATGAAGGGGTGAGAAGAGGGAGTAGCTAAAGGTGGAGGAGGAATTGAAGTGGGCGGAGCCCAACGATGACTTGTTAAAAGCAGATTTGTAGCTTAGTAAATTAATGCTATTAAGATAGTTATACCTGAAATTCATGCGAGCTTCAAAGTAAAAGCGAAAGAATCTCTAAAATTTGTAAATTTATTGTTTAGAATTGTCAAATAGGAAAATATCCAGAAATGAATCCTTTCAAGAAAAAATGTGCCCTTTCCGCATGTCATGCGATGCTGAGAAGGTTGCCAAGGTGCACAAAAGACGAAATCTTATACATTTCTTGCAGACTGCAAAGTCGCAAATTTTTTCTAGAGCTCGAAAACATTGCTGTCGAAGTTGAAGTTCCATACATTTTGATAAGTTGTAGTAGAATGAGAAAAGTGGAATTATGCGATGTTGGCAAGAAATGTATAGTGAGAAAAAAAACGCTTCAAAAGACGTTGGTGTGACTAAATACATTCTTCGAAAGATTTGCAATCAGAAAAAACTCATAATGATAGCTCCTCTGTCGATACAAAGGTTGTTATAAACGTTTTGACGATCAATGAGCTTTGCCTGTACTCAGTTTTCGAAATTTTTGCGAATTTACAGTTTTTAGTTTTTTTTGCGTGGCCTTTTCATACCTTAATACATGGCTAGATTCAACTCAAGCGCAAGCTTAACACTTCCATTTTTCATTAATGTAAGATTTTGTGAGCTTTCTGGCGCATTGACGCCACAGTGAGCTAACTGCCAAAAAAAGTAAGGCGATTGGATCATCAAGACGTATAATTCAAGAAATTTGAGCGCGATAAGTACCACCTTGGGTAAAATCATTTAATACCCATGGAAGGAGAGTTGATTTGCTTGGGTAAGGCAAGTAAACAACGGCGATTGTCCACTGAAGGTAAGGCGAATGAAGGAGGAGGAGTTGTCAGCAACGGTCACCACTTACCTTGAATGACCTCCTCAATTGACGAGTCCTTGGATGTGAGGACAACTGACGCCACCAAGATGAGTTCGCGTAAAATTGCTTTGTGCGTAACATCCATTTTCGAAGGTAAGATCTAAAATTGCATTCTCCTTTTTAGACTACTGTGATTTGCGCGATTGTTTTGCGCGTTTTATTTTGATATTGCAGTATGGAAGCAAAAACAAACGCTGCTCTTCACCGCCCTGGATTGTGGTGGACCTTTAACTATTGTAATTCAATCCTATGTCTTGTTTATGTGAAACACTCCGCCAAGATTTGGTAGTGAGCAGCTTACAATACCGCTCATAATTCGTCAAAAAAGTCGCCGGACTGCGGCGCACTCCACCGCACTCCGCCACAGTGCGCCGGAGTGTGGCAGAGTGCGCCGGAGTGCGGCAGAGTGCGCCACACTCCGCTGCAGTGCGCCGGAATGATCGTCAATTTAGCCATATCTCGCTTCAGAATGGAAGAATTCTGAATCCGAGGACACCGTTCGATTCAGCTTGACGAGACGCATCATCTTATATATGAAGCTGAACGTCTGTTTGTCTGT